AAATGAAAAAAGTAAAAGAAAGATGTCTCTAGCCCCTGGGAAGTGAACACATTAGTTCAAGTTTCTCTTTTTTAAAGGAGATGTATAGATAATACCTTTTTTTCCTTTTCAAAATAGTATTTCAGTTATCCTGTTTATAAAGAAATATGCAGGAGATAATAGATGGTCCCCAAGAGTATGAGATTTTTTTTAAAGCCTGAGTATAATTTATTGTTGCTTTATACTTTATAAGAGGTAAAAAATATTTTTTGTTGCTCCTGTATTACAGGTAATAATAATAAAAGTAAAATAAAATCATTGTAAACACAGTGGAAAGTTGAAAATATAAAAACTTTAGCAAACTGAAAAATTTATAATTGACACACGATATTTAATTTAGCCTTGTAGAAATGTAAAAAGATCAGCTAATTATGGTATGGCATATATCTAAGTATAGGTGCCAATGTCCAAGTATTCTACCTAAGCAAAGTCTAAAACAGTGATGGCGAACCTTTTAGAGCTTTCAATGATAACAAATGGCCTGCTGCAGCACTTGTGCCATAGGTTTGCTACCACTTGTCTAAAACAATATAGAGACCTGTTCGTAGGCAAACATGCAAGTGGGATCACAAAATCTGCAAAGGCTCTGAGTATTTAACAATGGATGAAGTTTGATTTTAACTTTTGAAAATTTAAACAAATTTAAAATATAATCTCATTATACAAACAACTTCCTTAAACTGAACTAACGGCTCTAATGTTAGGACTTTCTCACTGTTGGCTGTGAGGTGCACGGAATTTGATTATAGAGGTAGGTGAGAATGATCAACCTTCCTATATACCTCGGTCTGCACCATTTCCAGCAACACAAGACTTGCAGTTTTAAAACCAGGATGAGTTGGAAACCCTAGGGTCTGCTTTCCCATCTATCAGTGGCACCTCAAATCAAACCAGCCAGGCACTGTGCTCTGGACTTGGTTCTATAATCACCTTCACTGGACATTTGTACTGAGTTCATTTCTTGATGGCACTGTTTGTTGTTTGTTATTGTTTTGTTTTGTTTTTGTTTTTTAGCAAGTTAATAGTCACACCTGTAAATCTTGACTGAGTTTAGTAATTACCAGCTATACAAAATGCCTTATGTTTAATTTTTTGAAAGTTCAAGTAAGCAGACAGGTGCCTTCAAATTGGGTAATGTATTTTCTCTTTTTTCCAGTTTCCAAATTCCCAAATTAATTTTTCTCTACAAAAATAGGATTCCTACAAAGTTATATCTAATTAAAAAAAATCTTTTCTCAACTTGAACTAGTGATTTTTAACTCTATTTCCTTTCAAGAGGATTATATAGACAGTATATAGTAACAAGACAGAAAACTAAAGGTGAGCCATCAATGGATTATAATCTGTCTCTTAGTCATCCAACTTCCTTTTGGCATAGATGAGTACCTGTCATCTTTGAGGTAGATGATATCTCATGGAAATAATCACTTTCTAAAAGTATACATGACTCCAGATTCATAACACTGAAAAGATCTTCATGTAATTCTATATCTGCCAACGATAACACTAGCCATGTGAAACACTCGGTGTGACTGGCTCCCCTACCTTCACCTTCATTTGGCAAAAAATGATCTGAAAGAAAAAAACCCAGCTGACTATGACTTGATCTTTGGATATTATGCTGTATTTCAAAACCCTTGTTTTTGCACAAAACTGAAAACCCTGGAAACGCATATGAAAAGAAGTAAAATCATCATGTTTTCATTAAACTGTTAAGAAATAGGCAGCTGGTTAAAAGACATACTTATGAAATAGTGTACATTCAAAAATCTAATGATGTTATTTAAATTAGTAGAAGCTGCATGTGATTGGTATTATACATTCAAAGGCACAGTTGATTTTAAGAGTGAAACAGTACAGATCTCAACCTTTACCAAAAAAATGTTCTCAGTTTTATATTATGTAATGATAAACTGTACCTGTTGAAAAATATGTGGAAAAAGAAATAATTTTTATACAAATATGAGTCATGTATATTCATTTATTCTAATCCAGCTGATCATGGTAAATGAGTTCAGCTTACTGGGTATAAGTATGCAACATTTAAAAGTGGAGATCTTTACTAAAACAGAAGGCTCCTTAAACTGCATGATGGTGTCAGGAATATAGGTCCTTGGAGCACATTATTGTTTTAAGTGGAAGTCCCCACACTTTCACGTTGGTTATAAAACATTATTTTGTGCTGCTGGCCTGGAATAAAAATGTCGTACATCTGCAGGCAATTAGAAGAAGCTGGACTGAATGTTTGATTAGCTCAATAATAAATGGGCACAAGTGTGACTCGACTTATGTTAGTCAGATTCCCAAGACAGATTATCCTGTTGTTATCATATGAAATAACCCCCTTTTATCAACAATTAAGCAAATCCACATTTATGGGCACTTTGCAAAATTGTGTGGTGGGAAGAAATCCAATTTAAGCCTTATGTCATCCAAAAAAACTTTTAACCCTGCTTTCAGTGGTACAGACCCCAGTCTCAAATTTTGGAAATTGGCTGAATTATACAGAATAGTTTGGGTTGGAAATACTCTATGTTCACACAATAAACAAGTATATATTTACATCTTCCATAAATAAGGTATGAATAGTTCTACTTTATAATCCTGAAAAATTCCAAAAGAAGTGAGAATTGTTTTAATGTGTGAAAAGAAACTTTGTAAAGTAGCCTAAATATTTTCAAGAAAAATTAAATAAGATTTCATTTTCATTATTCATAATATAGTTGCTACTGTCACCAATGTGTGTTATAAGTCTGAAATGTATTTTATTATAGAACTTCTTCATTCAGTTTTAGGCTTTGTTGTTTAATTCAAAATAAGAATAAATGATGGACTAGTAACTATTCTGGGAAATGGCCTATTCATTTATCTGTTTTTTTTTCCATCCCAAATATCATTAAAATATACAATAGCTGAAGGGCTAAAAATAACTCAGAATGTACAATCATTCTTTAAAAATTTCAGCAAAAATTTTAAATTTCAGAATAAACCACCAAACTTTCTAATCTATATTTACTTAAGTGTATATTTAAGAAACAATTAGAAGTTGGTATTCTTAAATAAACTTTAGGTATTTTTTATCAGTATTATGATATATATATGACATAATACATATATTATGTCAGTTTATCTTCTGACATAATCCTTGAATTAAATATCAGAATATCAAGCAGATGCTGAAGCATTCATCATCAATATTGGAATTCTGACTCATGACAGTAACACAAAACAGATGCTCATATGATGCTCCCTCCGAAAAGTGACACCATCATGGTTAGCTCTTGATGTGGGGTTAACTTAAAATTTGCACACAAAATATGAAATAATAAACATTATGTACTGCAAACATGTACCAAAAATAAAAATGAAGTGGATCAAGAGGTAGGTGGAGGCTGGGGATTTAGCTCAGTGGTTCCACTGCCTGCCTCGAAAGTGCAAGGATCCGAGTTTGATCCCCAATACCAAAAAGGAAAATAAAGAGGTAGGTGGAGGTGGGAAGGAATGAAGGGGAAAGGGATGATAAAAGGAATTAAGATGTGCTATGTATATATACCAACTTCCCATAAGGAATATAAACATTATGTTCTACACACATGGACTAATAAACTTGAGTAAAAATTAAAAAGAATGAAAATGAAATAAAAGTCAGAGCATGATAGGTTTTCTTACTTCACTTCTAAGCCATTTAAAATGTACTGTCTCTTATACAGAAGATAAATAAAGCACTGGGAATATGGGGGGGGCAGTATCCTAAGGCACAAAAAGATTCATTGTACCCGATACAACAGGTAGATGATCTCAACTGTGTGTGTGTTTTTTGGGGTTTTTTTTTGAGAGCACTCTCTTCCTCACTCATATCCAGTTAGAAGTTCAGAGCTCCTGGGCTCTTTCCATTGGCCAGTGTGTATGTGCCATGCCCTTATACAATTGTCATCACAGTTGTGATAGGGAGCCCATCATATGGGGTCTGCCCAGCCAGCCCCTGGCAATGTGAAAGGAGTCTGGGGGCTCTTGTAGTCTCATCTTAGTAACACAATCTCCATACCAGGTGGCTCTGAAAGGGTTTGCTAAGAAGGAAAAGGGAAACAAAATCCCTTTGCACAGTCCAGTTAGCTAATATCCTACATGTCTTCAAAGCCTGAGATTCTTATCACTTTGCTAGCATGAGTCTACAGCTGTTTCTAAAATACACAGTGATATGTACTCTTTGTGAAAATAAACAGAAAAACCCAGGCAGATGGTGCCACGGTGCAAGTGATATAAGCAAAATGTGCTCAAGTGAAAACCTTAAGACATATAAATATGAGCAGTGGAGACCCCCTTCAAGGTAATGAGAAGCAGGAGTCCCATTTTTTTTTATTCCTGGATTGAGGAAAATAAGCCAGTGGCAAGTTAAATGACAAGAAAGCTGGAGAAATTAAAGGGAAGCATTTATGGAGTAGCTCAACAGCACAATTTCAAATTCCAAATCAGCAACCTGACTGTTATTTCTGACAGTTGTGACTCTGACGCCCTCCTGCCTGGGTTTGAAATCCAGCTCTGTACTTACCACCCGTGTGACCTCTGGTTCTCAAACTTGGCTGTATGCTGGAACCACGTGGAGAGATTTAAAAATACTGGTGCCTAGATTCACCCCCTGAGACAGTTATTTAATTGTTCTAAGGTGTGGCTTGGCCATTGAGAAGTTTTAAATGTCCCTAAGTGACTATAAATAGGGACAGCTAAGGTTGAGAAACATTGATGAACTTTCTGAGCCACAGTTTCCTCATCTGTAAAATGATAATGACAGCAACTGCCTTTTTAGATTACTGCAATGATTAAATATGCTAATGGAGACAAAGCACTTAGCACAATGTCTCACACAAGGGAAGCCCTTGATAAATGTTAGCAATTACCATTATTCTCACCAAGGGATGCATTTGTTCGAGAACTTTCTTGTTAGCATAATAAGTCATACTCACCCTGACACACGTTATGTTCACTCTGCTCATAGCCTGCTGCACACGGGATCCGGTGGGAAGGGTTGGAGGGAATGCGCTGAGGGTCAGCTGGGTTCCGTCGGATGACAAAGTTATTTCGGCCAGTCTGCACTTCAGGGCCTACAACTGCAGCAGCACTAGCCACAAAACCACCCCCAGGCACCACTCCACTGGCTGCCATGCTACTGGCAGAAATCCCCCCAGTGGCGCCACCTGAGGATGCTTCAGCTGCTGGTGTTTCTTGCTGAGGTTGTTCATTATTGACAATAATTTGGGCTGTTTTAGGAAGACAGAGGTATCCTCCATAGTGGTTGACACATTTCATTCCACCTTTGCAAGCATCTGGGACAATGTCACATTCATCAATATCTGTGGTCAGTAATAAAATAAGTTAACAATCTTCTCAGAGGGAAAACAGGACATATAAATATATGCACATGCCTGTAGGTATAATACAAATAGGATGAGAAGAGCAACACAAGAGATGAAGACAGAAAGCTGTGTTCAGATGGGAAGACTGAAGCAGGCTCACCTTTGCACTGCTGTCGTATGGGGTCCCACTCATATCCATCAGTGCATTGCTGCAAAGAAAACACCAAAGATGGAGCCAGAGGAAAATTAATTGTGTCTTTAAGAAGTCACTCTAAAAGCTTCATTCTTATGGGTTTAATCCTTGTGCTAGAGTCCTAGATATATGATGAGATGAGTAGCTTAACATTCTTTGGTTTTCTCATTTTTAAGGCAAGTCTGTGTATTGGGTAGCTTCAGGAGTCCCTTCCCAATCATCAGCTGCCTCAACTCCCCTGTTGGATGTTGCCCATTACCACCATTTTAGAATTATTTTCTCTCTCTCTCTCCAGACTATCTCCAATATCTCTGACTGCTCTTTTATATTTGTCCCTTTGGTTTTCCACATTGTAAATTCTACCATAAAAGAAAAACTTTCAACCAAGCTTTTCTCTAGCATTGAAGTCTTCCCTCTCTAACTCCTCTTGAGCATCCAAGCACTTGGCTTTCCTGATGATTCTTTGCTAACTCTCACACCCTCCCTGACTCCTACCTTTAGTTCCCATGGGTCTTCTCTAGTTCACTCACTGAACAAACCATCTATCAAGCACCTTCTCACATGAGGCATTGTCCCAGGTCCTGAGGATACAAAGATGGTGAAGAACCGGGCCCTATCCTCAAGCAGCTCATGAGCCAGAACAAGCTGGGGGAAGATGTCAATGGTGTGACAGAAGTGTGTGTGTGTGAAAGGGGTGAGGGGGCTCTGTCTGGAGCTGTGGGGTAGGTGTGGCAGGGAAGAAGAGAAGGCTTTACAGGGGAGGTGGCAAATGAATTGGGCCTTATATGATAAGCAGGATTTTTTTTTCCCATGGAGATGAGGGAATTCTAGGAAGGGGGAACATTAGAAGCAAGGGTATGAAACTACTGAAGAGGAAAAGAGCTACAAGAGAAGTGGCCTAGACTAGATCCAGGAAACCTTTCCTTAGGTTAGGGAGGAACTAGATTCTACTCTGAAGGTCAGTGAATCCCAAGCTTTAGTATATGCCTTAGGATCATCCAGGGTGTTTGTTAAAATGCAGATTCTTAATTTAACCCTAAGGATCTGATTCTGTAGGTCTGGTTATGAGGCCTGAAGTCTGAATTCCTAATATGCATCCCTGGTGATTTCTATACAGAAAGTATAGAAAGTATATCTGTGGCTACATCTCGAGAAGTGTTCCTATATGTGATAATAGGCCCCTGAAGAAGTGTGAAGCTTGGGAAACAATTTTGATTAGATATTCATTTGAGAAAGTTACAGCGAGGAGGATGCCTCAGGAAGGACTGTACAAAAGTGAAGTCAATAGACAAATCAGCTTGTCAAGTGTTAGCTAAATGGAGGTAGAGAGATCAATTTAGCTATTTTACTGACATCTAAACTGAACAGGCGGAAAACAAAGTGAGTGTTATCTCCCAGACTAATTCTTTTTTAGTTTCTCTGACACCATCCAAGGCCCTACCTCCTTTCTCAAAACATAGGAACATTAGCTCTGACTTCTCCAATTATTTTCCTTCAAGCTCAGCCTACTTGTGTTCACTTTTACATGTATCACATTTTTGTGAGCCTTCCTGGCTTCACATGGAGGCCAAGCTCTCTCTCTACATTCTGAACACAGCATTCTTTTTGTTCTTTCTTTCTTGGTTAAGTTGCTCCTCCATCTATGAGCTCATAGTTGCCTACAGACCTCTGTCTGTCTGTATTACCATCTTCAGGTTCTTTCCACCTGCCAGCTCCTTATTACCTCTTGGGCTTGTCTTGATTGTTTTCACCATAGTCTTAATGTCACTGTCTCTGACTCAGGTGCCTCTCTACTCTTTTTATATCAACTTGAGATCATAACCTCCTTCAAGAATCAGCACAGAGTGCTCTCTTCTCTGATATGTCAGCACCAACATTAATTATCTCTTTGCTTTTCTGTTTCTCTAGCAATTTGTATAATATGGATAATAGTATTATTTGTACTTGCTTAGGAATTTTGTAATTTTCAACAGTGTCTTCCCAGTGTAAATGCCCTGAGGCAGAAGGCTGAATCTTCTTAGTAAACAAATGAAGTCTTTTGATAGTGATGAGAGTTGTTTATGCAGATACCTGGGAAGTAGCTGAATGAACCCTATCTTTAATATGGAATGCAAATATGAGGCTGCCTTGAAGATACAAGCTTATCCTTCTGAAAAGTATTTTTAAAATTAGGCAAAAGTGGCAGTTCATTTGAATAATTTGTGTTATAAATAGGGAAGACGTACAATCTTTTACAGGCATTTAGTTCCAGTGTATTTAATGTGGGTCTACTATTAAACAAGTCTAGACTGAATTTAGCTTCACCACTTGCTGGCTTTTCAGCCTTAAGCAAGATAGACACTCTGATCTTCAGTTCCACTGTCAGCAGAAGGAAGATGATGCCACTTAACTCACACTTTACTGTGAGGATGAAGGGACATGATGTCTCCACAGTGGGGTACTCAAGACCCCAGTAGTTACACCTTGTCCTTTAACCATGAATTATTAGGCATACACAATTCAAAAGAGAACAGAAAGGGTATCATACATCTTAAAAATCTGTTACAATAAATAGTGAACCCTCATTAGTAGTTTTAAAACTTTAGTGCTTAATTCACAGGAACTTTCTCTGCTAAAAATAAAGAAGATTTAGGTAATTAGCAAAAGGAAGAGGGCATAAGATAAGCAATTGTAAAAGCAATAAAATCTTTTTCAGATGATTATAAAAGCAAATAGTGTATTTAATTTTGGCTCCCTGAGAAGGTAGCAAGTTTGGCTTGAATAACAAAACATTTTCATTTGAAGGTACACAGCACAAGCATTCATTTTCTTGCTTTATTTAACTTCAGCAGAGGAAGCAATTTCATTTAACATTAAGTTAACAAAATATTTATATTAAATTATTTTACTTATAATTGACCTGAATAACAGAAAGGAATATTTACCAGATGATACTAACATCAAGGGATAACATGGTATCAAAAAAATGAGATAATGTTTATTAGTAATTGACATAAGCTCACTTTCAAGAGTTTTATATTAAAAAAAAATCTGACATTCTTTTGAGTAAGATTACTTAATTTTTAAAAATTGGGAGCAAGTAGAAAAACATGTTTTCCACATTTTGATCCATGATCAATGTCTTTCATCTCACAGCACTTACTACCAACTAGAAAACACAAAACAGAGGTGCAAACTCACCACCAGTGAGGTAAGTACTGTCCTGCTCTGTTCTCACCACATGTATTTTCTGGGAGTGGGAGAAGTCTGGTGACACAGTAAATATGTTAATAACTATTGTTTATACTCATGCAGTTAACTAATTAATCAAACACTACTTGGAAATATCAGAGATGCTAGTAAAAGATGCAAAAGTGAATTGCATATGCTACATTTTAAATCCACTTGAGCAAATAATACATCTTGGTAACACATAAACTGCATGTGAAGGGAACTTGTATGAATTATATTAGAAATGAATATATAATCTTTATAGATTCAATAAAGGTGGCTTCCATGAGAACATAAGTTACATACATGAATGGGGTGCTGTGTTTATATGATGTTTAATAATCTTATTTGACTTAAGTGTTAGTTTGCATGTATTTATTTCATCTGCATGTACTCTTGTGGGAGAATTCAGGCTTCTCAGTTCCTTATGCCCATTAATTTATTGAATGTATTGGAAATACACAGCTTACTTTGTTTTACAGGGTCGCCTCTTTTGGCCTTGCACAAATCATTACTTTTGGGTCCCTATCTCAGTCAGTAATCTAAATGAACTTTTGTAAGGATGGAGGGCAATTAACAATGAATCTTAAATGTGAACCATACTAAAAAATTTTTACTGACCTTTGCCAAGTACAACCTATATCCACTGGCAGGGTTGTGTGAAGTCTTTCTTGCACCATAGAATCCCACTGAATGCACTATCTAAAATTCAATCACCCCTTACCGTGTATGTGATGGTTTCTTCATTGTCCTGTGACTTGACCAGTGCCAGAGTCAGCATAGTTAGGAAAAGGACTTTCCACATCATTGAATCTCAAAGAAAACACAAGGCAAATCATGTTTAATATCTGCTGAAGGGAAATAACCAAACTTCAGCAGTGATGTAACAGGCAAGAAAGAGTGGGGAGGCCCAGGCACTTGGATAACCAATTTCAATTCGCTTTCTCATCTCCTCTTCCTCTTTAACCTTCGCCACACCTACCAAAGGAGGCATGAAAGCCTGAAAAAGGACTGCAGAATTGCATTTCATTTTATTCCATCCATATCAATAGAGGTCACTCACCATGCATTTTATACCGTACCTAAGACAACAGGCTCCGGAAAAAGGGGAGTCAAAGGGAAGAAAGAACATAAACAATTTCAAAGACAATGATGCATTTTTGTTTTGGGGTAGAAGTGAGGCAGCAAATCTCTGTTCTCTAGGACATTAAGAATTTCCTTACATGCTCACCTCCAGCTAGTGAGGTTACTTGCTCAGCTCACCAAAAGTATCTGCGAGCCAGTCTCAATTAAATGGCCTCAGATTTTTTAAAAACAAAAACAAAACTTGGAAAGCAAACTCCTTCCAGTTCTAGAACACTAGTGTTTCCCACACCCCTTGAAAACCGCTCCTCACATCCTCCTGCAAAGACTCTAAGTGCATCTCCATGCTGATCTCAGCACACAGCTTTGTTTCAAAGTCCCAGGTGGTGTAGAGGAGCCTCCCAACGCGTCTGTTTCTTTTCTCTTCAGGCCTTTGGTCCCAGACAGGCTACCCTCTGGATCCGGGCTGCCTTGGGCGGAATCGCGCACGCACAGCAGTCCTGGGTACCAGTTTCCGGGTGGCCCGGCTGGTGCCTGGAGCGAGGCAAGGTCCTCTTTCTTAACTGTAAGCTAACAGGGAGAGGTCCGCCAGAGCTGCTTAGACTCAGCTTCTAAAGAGCTTCTGAGGAATCCAGGTGCGGGTTAAATGTCGCACGTCGGTCCCCTGAAACTTTCAAAACCACATTTACGGGCAAAGCTCTGCGGGTCGGTTGTGGGCGCGCACATACTTGCCGATCCCAACAGATGTCACCCGAGTACTCGAGCAAGCTGACAGATCGCATTCCGAGACCACACACCTCCACCTCCCTCTCTCCTCGCACAGTTCGGCAGTTCCCGAGTGCTCTGCACCCCTCGGCTGTTCCCACCTCACTCTGGCGCGCGGCCCCGCGGGTGTAGGGCGCGCTCGATGCGACCCCGAATGTGGGGCTCCTACCTGCGCCGCTGCGCTGCGCTCTGGCCCGGGGCTGCGAGGGGAGTGCGCAGGGGAGAACAGCCCCGTGGGTCTGAACTGGCGAGGTCTGGCAGCGGCCGCAGCAGCAAGAGGAGGAGGAGAAAGGGAGGGAAAGGGGGAGGGGGAGAGAGCGGAGGGAGGCGCAAGCGCTGAGCCAAGCGCAGCGAGGCCAGGGGAGAGCGCGCTGTGCAGCTCTGCCCTGCTCCAGGGGAGTCTGTGATGCCCCAGCCTCCCCTCTGCTACCAGACCCTTAGTTCTCTGACGCAGGAGTACTCCAGGCTGCCCAGGGCACATTTGAGATGTGATGTCCTGCATTTGAGCCCTGATGATGCTCCCAAGTTCCAGGACGATTTCTCGTGTCCCAAGAGGGGCAAACATCTTTTCTAGAGAGCTTCTAATGGTCCCCAGAAATGGCTTAAACTAGCAAACAAACAAGCAAACCAACAAGTAAAGCCTAGGAGAGTAAATTAACTCTATTCGTAGAACTGGTCCTTTCAGAATTGGGGGATGGGGAGAGGGTGGGCGGAGGTGTTCTTTTTTAAATGAAAAAAATTTATGTATTCATTCAACAAATATTTGTGGCCTATTATGTGTGAGATGTTGTGAATGGGCCCAGTGGAATTCCCACTAACAAAACTGTGCGGAAAAGGATGTTGTTTTCAGTCTCTTATCCCTCTCTTTTGAAAACGAGTCTCCTTTCTCAGATGCAGTTCCTCTTTTCTGCACTGGTCCAGTTTCTGGAGTTTCCAGTACTGTTCATTCAAAGTTGACGATTTGGCTTCCACCTTCCACACTAATAGGCAGAATTTCAGGAATCTGAAGAGAGAAAAAGATAGTGCTTTTCTAGCATTATCAAATCATACCACACAGATTGCTGTTATCTCTGAAAGCTCAAACTCTAAAGTTAGGTAAATAGTTTGCTTCTATGGCAGCTGTGCCTTTTAAGAACCAAACAGCCAAATGCAGTTTCACAAATGAGATTATCTTCAAACTAAAGTTGTTAAGGACTTTACTCTGCCCAGCAGCAGGAAGAAGAGGTATGATTAAAAATAAGAAGGTGGTAGAGATTGCAGGAGAGGGAGGTTGTCAGGTGGAAGCCTCTCTCCTTATTCCTGGGGTGCTCTGTGGATTACCCAGACCTGGTTAGCTTAGTAACAAGCCATGTATTGGACAGATCAGAAGAGTTCCAGATTCCTTCCTGAAACTTATTTGAATATAAAGGATTTGCTAATTCTATTGAAGATCTGTACTACCAAAAATCCTAGCAAGTTTTTCTCCTAGTCATTAATGATCTCCAAATTTTCTTTCAAAAAATGGATCTTTACTTTTGTATAGTGAAAAGATCTATCCAGCTGTTTCTGAGTTTTATTTGAAATCATTTTACCTGTCCTCAATCCTTTCTCCAGAAAAATGAAGTTAAAAATTACTAAATTTCTATCTGTATCCTGGATCTCTTCTTGTATATCCAACTGCTGACTCATTACTTTATCTTCATTTAGGTATCTAATGGACATTTCAGGCTCAACACATATGCTGTTCTCATCCTCTCCCCAACCTACTTCACCCACCTGCTTCACTCTCTCAATAGAGATTTCATCTTTCCATGTGCTCAGATACAGGGCTGTGAAGTCACAGTCCATTTCTCTTTTTTCTCACACATTCTGGATTCAAGCCTTTAGAAGACTCTGTTGGCTTCACCTTCAAAATATCTCCAGCATTGGACTACTTCTCATCGCCTCCTTTGCAGCTTTCCTGATCTAAGCCATTACTATTTCCCACCTGGATTATTGGAACAGCCTAATTGTTTTTCCTGCTTATATCCTTGTTCCCTTGCAGGCTTTTCTCAGAAGAAGTTCATATGAATGGAATCATAGAGTAAATATTCTTTTGGGTCTGGCTTGCTTCATTTAGTACATTTTTGAGATACATCTTTGTTAAGTATGTCAGAAGTTCATTCCCTTTTTATTACTCCACAGAATTTCATTATGTGGATATACCCTGATTTCTCTGTTCACTCGATATATATTTGAATTGTGTATTAATAAAGCTGTTTGGTTATTCAGATAGAAATATTTTTGAGGGGATATATGTTTTCTTTTCTTTTAGATAAGTACTTTAGGGGTGGAGTTGCTAGGTCATATGGTAGAAGTATGTTTAACTTTATAAGAATGTGCCAAAGTGTTCTCCAAAGTATAACATTTTACATTCCCACCAGCAATATGTAAGATTCCATTTGGTCCACATCCTTCCAAACACCTGGTGTTGTCAGATATTTATAATATTAGCCATTCTGGTGGTTGTGTAAGGGGTATTTTACTATGGTTTTATTTTGTATTTCTCTGATGTTCAGTGTTGAACATTTATTTTATATTCTATTGTCCATTGATATGACTTCCTTTGAAGGGTCCATTAAAATCCTTTGTTTCTTCATTATTATTATTATTAGTCTGTTTATTATTGTTTCTTTATTATCTTATTGTTAGTTGTAACAGTTTTTTAAGTCTTTCTGCAAGTCCTTTGTTAGATGTGTATTTTGAAATATTTTTCTCCTAGTCTTTGTCTTATCTTTTCAATTTGTTAATTCTATCTTTTGAGAGCAAATAATTTAAATTTTGATGAAGTTGATTACATTTTTTCTTTTATGTTTTGTTCTTTTTTTTCTGTCCTATTAAGAAATCTGCCTTGGGCACACCTTTTGAGGTCTGTAAATCTCAGCTCCCGTTTTTGTAAAAAGTGCTTCTTAAGGTTGTTTTGAGGATAGAATGAGAAACTTAAGGCAAATAAAAAAAACCATGTGAATGATTGTGATTAGATATCAGAAAGTCTGGTGTGAGGGTTATAGTAGACTCTTCCTCCTTCTGAACATAACCCTATATTATTTAGGTTTCATTCCCATTCCTGACACGATGGGTATCTCCTGACTAGTCTAAAGATCATGCAATTAGCAATGGCATTTTATGGGCTATTGCTTCAAGGGTGGGCCATGATCTCATGTAAGATCAATAAGAACCGAAAGGAAAAGTTTCTTTCCTGTAAGGTGCAAGGCTTTCTTAGGCTAAAAGTGGAGGGAAACAATGAAACCCATGAAACTCATGCCCCAACTGTTAGCTGGCAGGGGTAGAACAACCTGGAGGTAAGCCAGCTTGAGCCCACAGGTGATACACACTGTGCATGGCCAATAGATGGAGAGAAATCTGGGTACCCCTCATTCCATGATACTTTTAGAGGTTCACCACGGTGTTTTAATGTCTTAAAATAAGAAGAAAAAATATTACCCTGCTTGAATTCTATTTTTCTTTATATCACTGTAGCCATAAAATATATATTATTTATAATATATTTATATAATATATAATATATTTTATATATATATATTTATATATGATGGAAAGAACTCAGGAGGGCAAAGGTGTCCAGGGACCATGGGAATCATTATGTGGCTCTGACTGTTAGACTGCTGAGCCACCCAAACTTAGACCCCATTCTAAATCTGAACTCCAATTTTGTGAGATAATATATTTTCCTATTGTTTCAAGCCAGTTCGAGTCAGGAATTCAGTTCCTTGTAGCAGAAAATGTATTCACTGCTGGCTGAGGGAGTTTGCTACTCTGGGAACCCTGATTCTTTTCAAGTTTTGGCCCTGGGCCCTGTTCTTTGAGTGACAGGCCTTGAATGTTTCTTAGGAAAAACTAGCCTATCTGTCCTTGGGAAAGCTAAGAATTCAGCTGCTTCTGCTGGGAGCAGCTTCTGAGTTTACTTTGTGTGTTATATGTGTGCATGGATTTTCAAAGATTTAAGATGTGACTTCTCTCTTTAATTATCATGGCCTTAGGGAGGCAACTCTAGCTTAATATGCTTTGTTGTACAGATATATATATATATATATATATAGATAGATTATATATATAGATTATATATAGATATATATAGATATATATATAAAAGAAAAATATTTATGTTTTTAAAATCCACTGAAAATAATTAGACACACATGGTGTTTAATTAAGTCATGCAGTCAACAAGTCTTGCGGATAAAACCTAATTAACAGTATTACTGATGTGTGGAAAATGAAATCTGTGAAAAAACGACTTCAGTAAGATGGCACAGTTACATGGAGATTTATCAGGAAACCAATTCATCCTGGTTTGCTTTGCACTTTCCTATTTTTGTATTGAAAGTTGTGTGACCTGGAAGAGCTTTTAGTCCTGGGAAAACTTAAAGATTTGCTTAGTGAAAAGGTACAGTAGCAAGAAAATGCAGTTCTTGGCTGAGCTTTGCTATGTTCTAGCTGAGTAATCATAGAAGTCACTGAAGTTGTTTGAGTCGGTTCTACACACATGTTGACAGCATTTATCTGTAGTTATCATACCGTATTTACCTATCATCATATCATACTTATCTGTACTTATCACATTGTTTTTGTCTGTCCTTACCTATTCTTTCTTTAACAATAGTGTCCTGGTTTTCCTTTGGAAACCAACCCTTATGGTGGTAGACCTTCACCGAGTCTGCCCCTTGCATGCCCCAAAGTGTACACAAAAGAATTCCTTGCCCCTAAAATATAGGTAAGAGGAAGTGGTTACATTAGGTCAGATGCTGGGGCAGAATTATTGCCTTCTGCAGTGGTCTAATTTATTTCTGTGTTCTGCTGAGACTAGGGATATAAAGGTCATTATTCCCTGCTTATTTGGTGGGAAGATAGTCCATTCTCTCTGTAATGTCAAGACTTCCAGGTACTCCTTGGCTATGTGAACTTGGGAAGTTTACTTAACCTCTCTGGGCCTCAATCTCATCATATATAAAATAGAGGATAATGATAATTCCTGTATTGTAGAGTTTTTCAAGAATTAAATGAAAGAATATACATAAAGCTCTTTGTGTAGTTCCCTACATATAACTATCATTTTTAATCTGATGGCCATCACTAATTGGTCTGTGTCCCAAATTTCATAAATCGGATTCATTGTATGATAAGTTTGAAGTTTTTTCTTCATGCTTTCATTTGCTACTATTTATCATTTATGGGATATTCAAAGGAAGTAAGCACACTTAGTCTGATGCAGTTTAATGACTAGATTATGGAAATGTGTGACCCCATAAAGAACAGCACCCTCAGATGAAGG